GCCTTTTCGGTAAATCCTGAAAAATGATCTTGTGTATAGGGAGAAAAATGAAGGTTAAAGAGTGAAGATCAGAATATCCCAATGACCCCAAATTTACGTTAACATTTTGGATTATCACTGCTATATCACATAGATGGAACTTGCAAGTGTCTGGAGATGAAAGCTGTAGAGAGAGATTGTGAGAGAGCTGTTCTATAGTCAGACCGTTTTAGGGCGCTTTATTAAATCCTTTTTGAAGTCCACGGTTGTCAGCTTGTATAATTGTACTTAAACGGGTCGTAAGTGTTTGAATTGTGCCGTCGGTACATCCTACTTCTTTCATTTCCCTCTGTCTGTCTTGTCTGTCTTACTCTTTCCTGCACTAAATGGCCATCATTGTGTCAGTGTGCTTCTATTTACTCAAACAAACAAATGAAAACAGTATGTGGGTGGTTGGCAGGTCCTCTGGTGTGGTTTGCTCCTTCTTTCTTATCAAATGTCCATCATCCTGATCTGACATATTTTTTAATGTTTGTTACTCTTTTATAACATCTCCTGTCTTCGGCATTTACATGACCTATTGTGTTACAAGGGCCTTAAAAGTCTTACCTAAAGCTATAAAAACAAGAAATTTGACTGTATTACTGTCATTGAGAACAAAGGAGAAGAAATCTGTCGTTTCTGTCTGCCTCTTGCTTTCTCCAGCTCCAGCACAAAGTAGCCATTTTCTTGTTGATACACCTTTTTTTTTCAACTTGAAGGTGATGGGCCTCTTTTCCTTCCTTTTTCCATTCCATTGTTTGGAGAGCTTTCTTAGTCCCTGCTCTACCCCCCACCCCCCACTTTGCTTAGTCTAACTATTAGGGATAGCCTTAAAGTTGACAGAAGTCCCGCTTTTTAGATAACCTAAAAGTATTGAAGGGTGTCGTGAAACCCATCGTCATCAAGTGCCAGATCTACAACAGACATCAGTTATCATGGTTCTCTGTTCATTCTTTTGCTTGGATGCTCTCAAAAAAGCTAAATGATCTGTCCCCTATCACCCATCTGTTTAGGCTCTCCCAGCACGTTGCTCTGGGTCTACCCCTGCCTCTTTCGTCTTCAGTTTTGCCTTTTTTTAAGTCATGCACAATTCTGAGCTGTCTTTTCTTTTCCAGATTGATGACCTGAAGGATGACGCTGTGTCCATGATCCTCCATGATGTGATCCCCCCTGAGGGCTTTGACATCTGCAACACGCAGCGACCGCCCGGGATTGCCTCGGACCGCCTCACGGCCAACTTGCAGGTGGCTTTATGAACAGTTGTATTGTCCTTTCAGTGTTAACCTTTGGTTTTATTTCTATGAAAGCAATCAAATTTTCAGAGTTCAAAGATTCATATATCTTTGCTGTTAATTATCCGACCGTTCAAGTGGGCAGTATTTGTTCCAAAAAGCTCTTTTTCTTGTTTTGTTTTTCTTGAAACTAAAAAATTTGCACCTTGTCAATACATTTTTACTAACCTACAAATATCGGCACCAAAGCCAGGACACGCGGAGAGAAAAAATAAAAGCTGAAACATCTGAATTTTTCATGAAACACCTTATTTTCACCTTCCGTTACTCTGCTTTGTGTACCAGATGGTTCAGGGAGAGAGTAATTTAGTTTTTAAAATTTCGTTGAATAAATATTTTTTGTGTCAATAGCAATCTGAATTTGTACTATGCTACAAAAAAAACCCAAACTCAGTTACTCTCTCGTGTCGGAAAGAAGCGAAATGCTTTGAGATATTTTTCTAGATGACACAATTGTTTGCATTGGGGTTGTTTTTTTTTTGTTTTTTTTTTGGGGGGGGGGAGGGATGTAGTAAGCAGACCAACAGCACGTCAGCAAGTTCAGTTTTTAGAGGGGTTCAAACACATTCCATACTGGCCAGCAGGAGGTAAAAAACCTGGTTTGATAAAAATGTATTAAATAGCATCTATGAAAAAATGTCTAGCAGTGTCTGTGGTTTAGTGGTTAGACACTTCGTGGTGGTGGCATGCAGATGACCCAAGTTCTATTCTCATGTGGAGAGAATTTTTATCAAGTATCTTTGTCTTTCTGCTTGACAACGGGTTATCTGCGTAGGCATGCAGCATCGTGTCCACTCAGCCAAGGCCTCGTCTGACTGGCGTTTATGGTGTAGTAAGATATGATTTCAATTTCAGAGTGAAGAATTTTATATCTGTCTTTCTGCTTGCTTCCCTTGGGGACTGAAAGAGTAATTTAAAATGAACAAAATACACGACATTGAATTAGCTCTGTCAGGTTGGGTTTTTTTCTCTTAAATTCTTCGTGCTTTTGTTATGGTTAATAGTACATGATCTTTCAAGCACCGTTAAACCTGTACAATTTCGTATTTTTACATTGCATGGTCCTTGTGGTGAAAATTTTTTTTTTTTAAATAAATTTTTCTTCTCTTTCAGATGTTCACCCAGATGGTGCGCGTGCGCTTTCAGCCCACTGTTAACAGCAGTTTGGAGTTTTCCAGTATCTTTAACGGTTTGCTACGGGTAAGGACCATTGTCTATGGTGTTGTGGTTGGGCACTTTGCTGTACACCTGGAAGACCAGAATTTGATTTCTGAGCTGAGTGGAGAGAAAATTTTCAACAAGCGTCTCGGTCTCTCTGGCGGGATGTCTTCCTCTCAACCCGGGTTGGTCCTTGCAGGAAGGGCTTAAAGCCCGCCTCCTAATTCTGATCGTTCTAAACTGTGTCAATGAGGACATCAAAAACACGTACATATGAAACAAAAAATTACAGGTTAGTTGCCATGTATTAGCTTCTGTGAATGAGAGATGGGGCTTGGGACTGACGTTTCACTGTCACAGTATGCGTTCTTGGTTTGGAAGTTTTTTAGTTTTTTTCTGTTCTTTTTGTATATAGAGAGGGAAGAGTCTTTTGTTTTTTCATGGTATATGTTGTTCCTGTGTTAAGAGTGACCATATTATCTTTTCAGGCAATTTGTAATTCTATAAAGTATATCTGTTAGTGTCTTAAACGGTATTAGCAGAACAGAAAAACAGACATTCAGAAATGAGTTTAGGTCAAAAGTTGTTTTTTTTACATATAATGTTTTTTCTTATTTATTTTTTTTACTTGAAGATTTCTACCATTCTCAGTTCCCTGATGGAGGATTTGATGGTTCTCAGTATTGAAACACTTCTCCACAAGCCTTTAATTTTCACAGATTTCTGCGAGTTCAACTTACCTCACAAAAATAAATCGTAGATATCATTGATGTTTTAGGCCACCATTGACACAGTTTAGATCATTTAGGAGGCAGGCTTTGATCCTGCCTGTCCTGGGATAACCGGAGCTGAGAACTGGCCGACCTCCCAGCATAAATAGGAGGTACTCCTTGAAAGTCCCCCCCCCCCC